CATCACTGCAGCCAATATCGAAGACTGTAATAAACAGCGAGTCGGGAAGTCCAGGACCACGCAGATCTCAGCGAGTCCGACAAGCACCAAAGCGTTTCATTTTATGAAAGAATTTTATGTTGTTAAAGAAATTATGAGATATTGTTCCAGTATAATTATATTTTGATATAATAAGTAGAGGTATCAATGTTAAGAATTTTTCATTTTTTTAGGGGGAAAAAGTGTAGTATCTAGTTAGTGAGTAAAAGTTCCGTTAGGCAGATGGCGCTTATGGCGTAGACAAGGTACCCTTGTATGCGAGCAACGATGATGTGTGATTGTTTTCGGGGGCCCCGGCGAAGGTGACGTAGAAAGAATAAAGAGTTTCGGTTTTGCTTCAAATGCTGATACGTTCCATCCATAATCCCCAACCCAGGACATAGCAAAAGCAAAGGCGCTTGTTGACTGCTACCTTGTGCCGGTCTTGTGGTGAGAGGTCTCGAAACTTGGCGCACATGACAATAAAGTGCTGAGCGTTGCAGCAATCGTACGGGTATGAGCTGGCTGTTGAGGAGTCGCCTTGGTGAACCATCTGGTGAGTGGCTGTCTTTTTTGATGGTGAGGTCGCTGAGCTGGGCCCCGGTTGAGACGTCGTTGATTCAATTCTCTCGAGAGCCCGTGTGCGAGAGGTTAGAAACTCCTCGAGCTTCTTGAACCTCGGGTACTCTCGCGTGGCGCCTACCGCGTTCTCACATTGCTCACGCGTGACGCGATCGAGGAGTCGCATGACATGGTACACCACTGCGCAATCCCCCAGCTCCTCCTTAACTCCTAGCGCCTCGAGTGCCTTGAGCGCTTCCTTTATACCGGTGATGAGCTTGTCAAGTGCGACTGCCTTCCTCGGAACCGGTGTTGAGCTGGCGAAGAGCTTATCTAGACAGGAGTGAATGAGCAACCGTTTGTTCTCGTACCTGTCTTTGAGCAGCTCCCATGACGGTGTGAGTGAGTCGCCGCTCATTGCAAGCCCTGAAACTAACTGCGCTGGCGCGCCTTCCAGCGACGAACGGAGGTAATGCAACTTCTCCACGTCCGTAAGCTGCTGGTTGGAGAGGATCAGGCTCGTGAAGAGATCCCGAAAGGCGGGCCATGCGGCATACTCCCCAGAGAACTTGGGGAGTGAGATGCCTGGCAGACGTGAGTGCGTTCGCCGGTCCTCTCTGGCCGATGAGTTGGTCTCCGAGTGAGCGGGCTGAGCTGCCAGAGCGTGGCGGAGCACGCCGATGATCCGTCGCGCCTGCATGTAGCACCGCGTCTCTTCTTGGTGAGCGTTTCCCGAGAAGTACTCGTGATGAATAAGTGCAGCGGGCCATGCGACTTCGAAATAGGCGTGTTCCTTTACGAACGCCTTGTGCGTCTCCTCCATCAGGAGTTGGAACTGGCTCACCTCCTCCAGCGAAGTCTGTGCAGGAACCTCCGGGAGCGTTTCTGCGAGTTCCTTGAGCGACGCGATCCGACCCATTTGCGTCTGCACCTTCAACGCGAGCTCTGTCGGAAGCCGGGCCGGAGACGCAGTCCTTGACGACAAGCGTTCTCCTGGCGGCAATTCCAACTGCGGGCGGTCTGCCTTGCCCGTCTTCTATGCGTCCGCCATGATGAGCTGCCACGTGAGAAGGACGTGAGATCACGTGACCGATGAGTGTCACCGTGTATATGAACCGGCTAATCACGTGTGCGATGCGTGTCTGCGTTGATCCGTCCGAGAGCCTCGCTGCAATCCGGCTCGAAGGACCAAAAATGTTAGCAATTTTCGCTGAGAAAGCTCGCTGGGACTACTGCGGATGGAAGCAGGGTGAGAGGACGTTGTGGCAAAACCTCAAGGAAAGAATGCACGCTTAGTTAGGATGGAATTTCACGTGATCCAAGAGCTCGGACGATTTGATTAAAGTTAACGTATCACAATCTTAATATTGAAGTATAATTACATTTGAGAAGTCTATGAATGTAAATTCTTATGAGAAGTCAGTATTCACGTGCACGGGTCGATTGTATTAATCGAGGGCCGGCCTGATGATCGGTGATGCCCGTGAGCCGTGTCCACGCCGCGCCGGCGTGCGCCGTGCATGGTGAGTCTGAGCCGCCGTTGATACTGTACTCGAGCTGTCTCGGATGAGTCGCACTGGTGAGAGATCGCTAGTCTATGCACTGAGTCTGTTCTCAGGTGAGAAGGTCCAAAAGAGCACTCGAAAGCGATTTTGCACTACTAATCGCATGTACTACGTACGGTCGCCATGAGATAAAAGAGCGCCGGTAACGTACGTAAAGTCGCGCCGTCGCCTCGTGTCACGATCGGGCATGCGCGAGCAGCGCTCATGCGGCGCTGCACGATCTGACCCGGCTGATGCTGCCATCACGCCGGTGACGAAATGGGCGATATTCAAATGAATCTCGAACATGTATAGAACATAAATAATGTATTTTTAGAAGAACTACAAATACAAGGTGTCACGTTCCGTCAAGGTCTGACAAAGTCAAAGTTTCGTCCGTTTTTCGGTCAACACATTTAAGTGCTTTACCGGGGATTTGGACTCGATTGTGTGAATCTAATGACTTTTAATCAGTCTTCTGGACCAAAGAGATAACGATTTCGATAAACTTTGTAACGAGGATCGTCTTTATTAATAAACTTATAATTTAAGTAATTGACCTCGAAATCTATTGGAATTAGTTTATAATTTTGTGATTTCGCGATTGAGCTGTTGTCTTTGAATTCAAGTTCTCTTAATTTAAGCAGGAAAGGTATAAGATCTTTATTAGAGTTTAACGCCTGCTTGATTTGGTATTTAACGCGTTTGATTTGAACTCGTTTTCCTCCTTTCCTTTTGGTCATGGAGTAAGGATGTTGGTTTCTGTCCGCCACACTCTACGTCAGCGATCAGAAAGGAATAGAGAATTCTGTCCGCCACACTTTTTGTCAGCGATCAGAGAGGAATAGAGGATTCTGTCCGCCACACTTTTGTCAGCGATCAGAGAAAGTGAGAGGATAGATCTTGGATTGAATTAATTATTATCTTTCTTAAAATAACTCTTACTTTATTCTCAAATGTCCAAAACTTCTTGAAATTCGAATCAACAATATAAGATTTAAGTCCGAGTTAAGACGTTTCTCGGCTTTAGTTTTTAACTCTATTTGTCAAGTTAGTGAGTCGTGAGTTTATGGATTAATGGATCTGAAGCTCTGAAGCTCTGAAGCTCTCTCTAGGACTTTAACTCCGAAGGCCCGAAGATTCTTCTTATATTTATAGTTGAATCCCCCCACGATATTTTAAGTGGAGGAGGAAGGTATTGTTCTCCGTTCCTTCACCGCAACTCTACCCTGGTAACAGTTGTCACTGCCACCGAGGTACCGCTTCGTCGCGAGTTGTAATTTGATAAACGATCGATAAGGAATGTTCCGAGAGATTTCTCAGGAGTTTCTTTTAAAAATTTAATTTAAATAATTTTGTTAAAATTATACGTCTGTAACAAAGGTCTGTTCAAAAAGTATTGCGAATTTTGTGTTTTTTCAAAAATTATTTATTTATTCATGAATATCTATGTTGTCCCCTTCAAAGTAATCCCCATCAGATATTATACACTTGTGCCAACATTTTTTCCAATCTTCGAAGCACTTCAAAAAATCCTTTGTTGTGATCTTGTTCAGCTCCTCCTTCGATGCCGTCTTTATCTCCTCAATCGTGGCGTAGCGTCGTCCTTTCATGGGCCTCTTCAGTTTCGGGAACAAGAAAAAGTCACAGGGGGCCAGGTCTGGGGAA